CGCGCCTTCAATGTAATCCTGCCTTCAACGCGCCTGCCTTCAATGTAATCCTGCCTTCAACGCGCCTGACTTCGATTCTATGGTTCAACTCAACTCAACAATGTAACAATGTGCCACTGGGTCCAAAATGCTATACTGTCTGTCTGTCTGTCTGTCTGTCCGTCGTCCGTCCGTCCGTCCGTCGGTCTGTCTGTCTGTCTGTCTGCCTGGCTGTCTGTCTGTCTGTCTGTCTGTCTGTCTGTCAGTCTGTCTGTCTGTCTTGTCTGTCTAGTCTGTCTGTCTGTCTAGTCTGTCTATGTCTGTCTTCTCTATTCCTTCCTCCTGTGATGGGTGGTGGGAGGCCCGTGAAAATGATCCTTTCCTGGATGATGACCAACCACCACCTGTGCCAAGTGCAATGAGGGGGTACAACTGGTTCAACTCTTCAACAGGGGGTGCAATTTTTTCAACCATCCCAGGCATCTTGGCACGAAAGGAAGACCACCAATCAAAAAAAAAGCCACGGAATCCCATTCTCAAAACTTGGTCAAGTCTAACCTTGACCAAATCCCCAGAGGGGGCCCATCTAGACCTCTGAATGCAGCTGGTGCGACACTGCAATCAGTGTTACAGGCTGGTTTGGGGGCTCACCTAGTCTAGTGGGGCTGCCAAACTTAAATATGGAGAGGCCTGAACACTGTAGAAAACAATAATTCACCGACAAAAGTCAACCCCAACTACAGGGTAGGCGGCTGAAAGAACGCCGCTGTGCTTTAGCATGATGACAGGTTGTGTTCGTATTGGTTTTTACAATACATTCTTGTTTTCGGGCGAAAATCCATGACTCTAAAATTCCGGAAAAACTACTTCACCTTATCACCTCGACTTGACGCTTCACTTTATCACCTTTGCCACCACAAGGTCGTCAAGTCTTCGTATACACAAGCAGGAGTTTCAGAGCAACGCCAAGATCTGTACAGCCACTGGTGCACAAGGTCGGGAATTCCTGGGCGCACGTTCGACCCAAGCAGACCTTTGATCTTTCTTGGAAACGTGGCCCCAAAGAACTCTTTGACCGACCGCCAGTGTCGGTCAAAGCACTGGGTTCCTGCAACACTGCTCAAATGTTTGGGAACAGACCTTAAAGTACATCGTGAAGCCAAAGCACATCGTGAAGAGCGTCTAGCTCAAGTGCATCCACAGTCCACCAGGGCAACAACTCCACACACGGCGGAGGCCCCCAGCCAACCGCAAAAGAAGCACCAGAGCCAGCAATTCGAGCAGAACATCATACATTGCAACACGGAAATACAGAAACGAAAAGAAAAATCTTTCTTTGAGCATCATGAGAAGCAAGCAAGCAAGCGAGCGAGCGAGCGAGCGAGCAAGCGAGCAAGCAAGCAAGCAAGCAAGCAAGCAAGCAAGCAACTGTCTTATAAGCTTACTAGCAAGTAGAAGTAGAAGATTACTAGAGTGTCTTGGTTTTCTTCACCCCACGAACGTAAGTGCCAGCGAACGTTAACATGCCCCACCCAACCCCACCCCCATCCCCGACGTAGCATCAACTGCATGACCTGAGTGCCAGCGAACGTTAACATGCCCCACCCAACCCCACCCCCATCCCCAACGTAGCATCAACTTCAAGACGTAAGTGCCAGCGAACGTTAATATGCCCCACCCAACCCCACCCCCATCCCCAACGTAGCATCAACTGCGTGACGTAAGTGCCAGCGTCATGAATAACATGCCCCAGCCGCCAGCCAACTACAGGCCTCTCACAGGTCAAGATGTTTTGGCCCAGGTGGATCACTCAGGGCATCGCGAAAGCCCGTCCCACCCTCTCAAGGTGCCAAAACAACAGAATTGCTTCTCAAAATTAATTCTTTTTCCCCAGATAGCGAAGCTATGGGCCCTTACTTCAAATAACAATGAGTTGCCCGCGCGCGCTTTCGAGGCAGGTTGCTGGTGCTGGGCGCCGGTGCTGGCGCTGGTGCTGTGAGCTGGCTGCGCAGGTGGTGGAGACAGGTTGCTGGCGCCGGTGCTGGTGCAGGGCGCGGGCGCCGGTGCTGGTGCTGGTGCTGTGAGCTGGCTGCGCACGCAGTGGAGACCGGTGCAGGTTGCGGAGGCTGGTTGCTGGTGCTGGTGCTGGGCGCCGGCTGTGAGCTGGCTGCGCACGTGGCGGAGGCAGGTTGCTGGTGAGCTGGCTCGCACGTGGTGAGACAGGCTGCGCCGTGGTGGAGACAGGCGCTCCCGGGAACTGTGAGCTGGCTGTGCACGTGGTGGAGACAAGTGCCGGGCGCCGGCGCTGGCGCTGGATGCCGGGCGCTGGTGCTGGTGTTGGTGCTGTGAGCTGGCTGCGCACGTGGTGGAGACAGGTTGCTGGCGCTGGCGCCGGGCGCCGGTGCTGGCGCTGGGTGCCGGGCGCCGGTGCTGGTGCTGGGCGCTGGCTGTGCTCGTGGTGGAGACAGGTGGCTGTTGCTGTTGCCGGGCGCCGGTGCTGGTGCTTTGGGCTGGCTGTGCGCAAAGTCAACAGTGGCGCTGGATACTGGCCTTGGGCCAATGACACTTATGGGCTTTGCTGTTTGCGCGCATACTTTTGTGCGCATAAACTTATACGTGCAAGATCATACGTTGTTTTTCCCAAATAGGGATAGCTATATATAGCTATGGGGTTCTTGCTGCAAATAAGAATGAGCTGGCAGCGCGCGCTTTCGAAAGGGTGTCTCTGCTGGTCCTGGTGCTGTGGCCCTGGGCGCTGGCGCTGTCAGCTGGCAAAGCACACCGGTGCTGGTGTCAGCTGATTGCGGCGCGCGCTGTGGAGGTGCCGTAAGCCGGCTGCGCAGGCAGCGTACATTCTTGTTCCAGCCAGTCGCATGTCAACAGGTCGTGGCATTCTGCCTAACTATCTGGGTCTTTTCTTATTAAGCCTAGTTTCAATTGGCAGACCCATTTTTTGTTTCAAAAAAACTGCACCGCCACCACCCATTATTAATTAACCCCCCATGATGGATGATGCAAGAGGAGGAGCAGGAAAGAACAGGATGGGATAGATAGATAGATAGGTAGATAGATAGATAGATCGATCGATCGATCGATAGGACCTTACGAAGCTTTACCAATTGGTCTAGTGGTTTGGCCTGCTGGAGGGAGAAGATGCCCTAATTCAATCAGGTCTCAAGCCCCCAAAGTTAAACAAAACCCTTCACCCCATCGCGCGAAACTCCCGCCTCCATCCACTTAAGGGTCTCCCCCACGACTCGACAAGGGCCCAAAAAAGAGGAATCCTGGAGGTCTTGAACATAAAACTAAGAAAGCAAAGCCCAAACAATTGGCAACACAACTCTGAATATCGTAAGCCTGCCGGCCCAACCGGCCCCTCGTTCGATTCGATCGAGTCCAGTCCAACAGATCCACTGCTGGTCCACTGTTAGTTGGAGGGATGTTCTATTGTAAAAATTCTAATAAATCAGCTGGGCTACCAAAAATGACTCTCACTTTTTTGACTCTCAAATCTTGCGATTTTAAGTTTAGTTGTTTGGTTGCTGGCTTCACTGGCTTTCCAAATGTCCGAGCTGTGGCTTCATGTGCTGAAACCTTTAAAACTCTGCGCCGACAATTACATTTCCTTGGCACTGAACAAGGGTTTTTGGAAATTGACCTTTAGAAACTACTTAACCCAAGCTCACACATTCAGCTGACACTCCTCGAATTGTCCGACCTATAGGCCCCCTAACCCTTTGCGTCCGACGCGCACCCGTCCGACGTGTCACCAAGTCCTGCCAGGCAAATGACCGTCCGACATGGTAGCCGACTAGAAAGTCCGCGTGCGCAATGCGACAAACGTAAAACATGTTCACATCATTCGCTCATTGCATCCCTTTCTTCTGCTCCAACGCGGGCGCTCATCAGTCGAGTCTCTGCCTATGGAAACTGGCTTCCCATCAGCTGATCTTCACCACCCTCATCCTCCAAGCATCGAAGATGAAAGCCAACTTGCTGAAATCTGATCTCGTCTGCGCCAGGGCCTTGTTGGAGCGCTCAAATCCATGAGATTGAGAACATACATGAGAGCAACAATGAGATTGAGATCACAAAGCAACACATGAGAGCCAATAGTGAACCAAGCAGTCCAAAACAAAGAAGGGCTTCTCCATCCAAGGGTAGATGTGATGCAATCGGCCACCAATTGGAGCAGTCGCTTCATACAACTCCTGCCAATGGACAGGCAAACTATGAGACACGCATAGTGTTCACAGACATAATGGTATTTTCAGCGACGCCCAACCTCAACACGCATAGCGTTCAAAACTTTCAGCGCCATCTCCACCGTCTCACACTCCGCTTTCGCGTTCAGAATCTGGTCTTCCATGTGGATTTGGGTCTTCTCCCAAACAAACCTCAGGCGTGGCACGATTTGAGGACTGCGCACGACAACATGTTAACCGGATGACCGCTGACAAGCCACATCAAAGTCGCACTATGATGGACTTTGCTCAGAGGAACTCGGGGTCCATCAGGGCCATCCCTTTGGATCAGTAGTGGGCCAAGTGAAACCATGATCAACCACGCAACATGGAGCTGAGGCACATGATCATTCCTTCGATGCAATCAAAACGCTTGGACAGGTCTTTCACAAAGCTGTCAAGCCTTAGCCATGCATCTGGGGTAGACAACCGAAACTGTTGCAGCAATGTCACAAAAAAACAGGAGCTGGGGTTTGGGCATCTCCATCCTCTCCATACAGCACAAGCTAGTGATCTGGCCCACCATGAGTTCGAACATAAAGGCTTCAGCCTTTTCAAAAGGATCCTCGCTCCTCTGCGTTGACATGTTGCGCGTCTTTTCTCTTAGAGGTCAGCCTTCGTTTGCCCACTCCTGCGTTCACCGGGCTACTCCGCGGTTCTTAAGCCCAAGCAACTGGTTGGCAACTTGCGCATAGCTTTCTGACGAATGGCTTTCTGACCGATGGAAACAACAGTTGGACACAGTGAGCCAAGTGAACTCGGTGAACCAAACAGTGAACTCAGCGTCGGTTGTTTTCTGGCAGACCCCCTGATGACGCCCTCAAAATCATCAGCATGCCGGCACCATTAGCCGGTGAGTCCGGTATAGGTTCCCCCTCTTCGTGGAAGAGTAGCTAAGGCCAGTGCAGTCTATACGATGCACGTCAAGGCATTGATCGAAGACAGAGAATGGGATGTAGACTCCATCCTTGCCCTCCTCGATCTCCACCTCGAAGTCCCAAACCAAGACCGTGCTTGAAGGCTGCATGACCGATGGTAGAACTTCGGTCTCTGCCAAGGACTCTTCGTTGGCCGGAATCCAAGGTCCAAATACATCCAGGACCTTCTTCTTCCTTCCGGGACGGAAGTTGAACTCGGGCGACTCCAGAGGGTGGAGCCAAGAGAAAACACCCTGCTCCTCGCCGGCCACCTGTACTGTTGCAATCATGATACCAAAGACAAGCGGGAGCTTTCCTTCCGGAGTTCCCTGCACAATGCTATAGTCACCAGGACTCATATAATATATGCCGTAGATGCTGGAGCAGCTGCTTCCCCCATACCACTGATGGTCATCAGCGTATTCTGCGGCATGTGACCAATGTCCGACCCCATGGAGATGTGGTAATAGATGAGCCGCCTGCATATCGGAAATCATTGTTTCCTTGGTTAGCTATGAATACTTTCACTGACAATGGTTCTGGCATGTTCTGGCACGTAAAGTAGAAAGACTCAATCCAAGGTTCCAAGCTTGGCCCCGGACTCAAACCCTCAATCACCTAAGATCTCAGTGTTGCCAGTGTTGCCAGCTGATCTCGTGGATGCTGGCCAGATGCTCTCACAAATGACTCCCAACAAACGGACAACTTCCAAGTGGCCATTCGCCGCGGCCACTGAAGAAGCCGTCTGCCCATCTCTTGTTGTTGCATCTTTGTCAGCTCTAGCCTCGAGCAACAACCGCACAACTTCCAAGTGGCCGTACCAGGCGGCAATGGTCAAAGCCCTGCAACCCTTTGTTGTTGGTGCCTCTTTGTCAGCTCCAGCCTCGAGCAAAAAGCATACAACTTCCAAGTGGCCTTCCTCGGCTGCACACATCAAAGCCGTTTTCCCATACGGTGTTGCTGCATCTTTACTACAAAATGGAAGCCCTATAGTGGCCTCAAGGCCCACCATTTTCTAAAAGGAAATTTTAACGGGGATAATATTGTAATATATTGTATTATATTGTAACCTCTCTTCATGTTGTTACCTTGGGACTTACCTTGGGTCTGCCAAACAAAGGAACCGGGCGCCGCAGACCGAGCATCGAAGTGGAAGATCCAGGGCCGCTCGGCGCCGCGCGGGACCACGTCGCCGCCCGTGCTTGCGGAGAAGAACCGCACGAAGTGCTCCGTCTCGGAGAGCACCTGACCAACCGGACCCACCGCTCGGTTGGTTCGGTTGGTGCACCTGCGGAGAGCACCAACCCGAAACCGGTGACGGTGACGGGTCCGAAACCGCCAGAGCCGGACACGTGGCCGGACGTGGCGGGTGGAGCCGAAGCCGCGGACGCGCTCCGAGGTGCGCCCGTGCCGCTCGGGTCAAGACCGGGGGAGACTGGACGTCCAAACAATCGCCGCTCCGTCAGAGGTTTCCATGAAATCTACATGCGATTGAGCAAAACTCTGGGAGGCAGGCAGAGGGTGCCTTCTTGATGAATAGTAATCATTGTTGTTGTCGGATTTTGAGCATGATTCTTCTGGACCCCAGCGGCCCTAGCTTCCGCACTTCAGCCTGTCATTCGGGTGACGAAGCCATTCGTGTTCAATCCGCCCGGACATATGTAAAGAAGATCTAACTGTGATGTGATCTCTCATTTTCCACTGGTGTGACAGGAGAATGCCATACATGAGAAAGTGGTTTTCCAGACCTATGAGAAATCCATTTCAGATCCCGTTCCTTGATCTGCTCCATCACTATGACCGTTCCTCCCGTTCCCTTGCTTCCAAGTAACTCCATCAAAAAATGAGCCCACCTCTTCGATGGCTCCCTGGTTCCAGGCCGCGTTCGAAGGCTCACAAGACGGCGAACATGTAAAGACCTGTTGCTATCAAACGAAGAGCCAATTGAAAAACGCTCCTTCCCCTACAGCCTGGATTTGATCCGAACGTTTCAGAGTGTAGTATGTCGATCTATATATCGGCACATGTTCTGTTCCTTTAAAAGGCGATCTCTTTGTATCTCTTTATAATGTTTTTGTCCGCCACCTCCCTGACCTGCTCGCTCCTGTTCAGATCTCAGCAGCAGAAGGAACCCCGCACAAATGTAGAACTCAAAAAAACAAAACAAACTGATTATATAATTCTCACAGAAACGGAAGTGTGACATTCCTTCTATCTCCTCTCCTCTCGCGGCCATCCTCGGGCCCATGCAATCCGTCGCCCCGGCCGCACATCCGCACCTCTCCCATGTGCTGCTGGTGATGAAGCACCCGGCAACCCTGGTGATGAAGCACCCGGCACGGCTGGGAGTCTGAAGTGGATTGATTTGAAACCCCAGAGACCTCGGCTCCCTGAGACCTTGGCACCCGGAGACACTGGTGGGTGTCACCACCCCAACAATCCAACCATCCGTTCGATTCAAGCATTGAAAACTACTCATTGAAGCACTCTGACCATAGATCCCCCGCAGCATGGTCCAACATATGCATGAAGTGAAACTTAAAGGCTTGGGATGGGCCCCACAGCTTTCCTCACACCTTATGATTCACAAATATTACAGCATATATATATATATAGCGTATATATATATATTATACATATATATATATGTATGTGTTTTTTGCCGCGACCGGTCGCACAAAGAGGTTCTCCAGTACTAGTACTTCATGGCTGCCTCAAAACCAGCGACACCCCACCTCCACGCCACCAAAGATCTGCAAAGCCTCCACCGGGGGGACCTCCGGAAGAGTCGGAAAGGCGGCTGAATGACGCCACACGAGTCGGTTTTTGAAACACCCATGGCCTATTCAATAGGAAACATCGTCCAAATGAATAGGGAAAATGGTGATGGTGCTTGATGTTAAAAGCATGAGAATCACCTGGCGTTTAAAGCAACTCTCATATAATATATATAATACACCCTATTGGTTGGGTATTCTACACGAGTCAACTCAGTCAGTGAATGTGGAATCCGCTGTGCTATCAGCTATCAGATTTGACCTGCTGGGCCATTCACCGCTGAAAAACGGCATGCGGCATGCGCATGCCCCCTTCCGTGCCCAGAACTGAAGTTTCCAAGAAACCGTAGTTGTTCGTCCTTCAATGTCATCAAATGTCCAACTAGCTCGGAAAGCTCAAGTTTCTGACCCAGAAACGAACCTTTGGAGCCGGTGCCAACTTTTGGAGCCGGGAATGTTCCTTTCAAAAACTACAACTGGGCCTTGTCAGGGGTATTAAAAAGGGTTTGCCTGGTTCAAAGGATTGTTTTGAAGGGCTTGAGACGAATAATTGTTCGGTCGAAACGTGTGTTTCTCCGGAAAGGTGTTGGACAAACTGTCCAACAAAAAGTGTTGCCAGAAAAGGATAAAGTCTTCCTTCGCAGTCTTTCTTTCAACTGTCAAGTTTTACCTCTGCCTTGAGAGTGCGTTCTCAAAGAATGAAGTTGCTGTGGCACTGTACAAAAATTAAGTTTGTTTCTGCGCTGAAAAACAACCTGTGAGCCAAACAAATTTGAGCTTCTCTTTGAAAGTTTACTCCTTCCCACGCACCTTGTATTTATTCATGGGGGCTCTCAAGTCTAAAGTTACCACGGCTATCGTGGCTTGTGTTTTATGATGTAAATATATAGCTGGATCTGAGAAAACCGAGCAACAACCCTTCGCTTCCCTGCCATTCGCTCGGTCGAGCCCGGAACACCGAGCAAGAAAGGAACACGGAGACTTCGGAGACTTCCTGTCTGGAACCGCAGGCGAGCCAGAAGCTCTGCCATCGAAGCGAGTCGACGCAGACGTCGACGCTAGTCATCCTGTTGAGTTCATCGTTTCACCACTTCGCCACACGTTACTTCGCCAGCATCCGATCCCATCAGCCCGGGAAGCGGTGCCCATCAGCCCGCCCGCCCATCAGCCCGCCTCCTCCCAAAGGTGGACGTTCGTGCCCTCGTGCGGATAGGCACATGAGAGGCTTTGGGGCTTCGCCCAGAGCGGTAGATCCTGCTTCGTTTTCTTCGACCCGTGAGAGTGGACGCTCGGGCCGCTCGGGATACGCTCGGGCTGCTCGTAGCCTACCAGAGAAACTACAGGAAGACGGGGAGGAGAACTCGGGAACACCTGCTTCTCCCCGAGATGAGTCTCTTCACCTGGAGTCGCCCTGCTATGCCCTGCTCTAGCCAACGACCGGTCCACGCTCAGTATCCACAGCCATTTGGGTACGTAGGGAAGATTGACGGCTCAAGACCTCATAGGCCCTGTGGATCCCTGTGGCTCAGACCTTGAGGGCCACAGAGCCTGGTGCAAGGGCCAGCGTCAACAAACTGAGACATGGCAAAGCAGCGAACCTTATCAAGATGCTATAGTTACTATAGTTGAAGGTGCCTAAGATCAAAGTGGCACAAGACCTCTGAGATTGCCGAACCGAGTGATCTTTGCTTTCTGGCACAGCTCGTCAACATGGTCTTTGCGAAAGGACTTGATGCAAGATGGAGAAGCCAAATCTGAGGGAAGATCGTGCGGCAGACTGCTGAGGACAAGTGGCTTCTTCGATGTTTGTCACTGATGCGGAGGTCAAAGACTTTGATCAAGTGGATTGTTCTAGAACACCTGCAGGAATTGTTTTTTTTCCCCGTCATTGGGGAAGAGATGTCACCAACAGCATACCAAGCATTCTACTTGGATTGGGCCACATGGACAGCCTGGGGTTTCTGAGAAGGGACAGTCTTGGCAGCCGAATTTTGTCTGGGTTTTCGGGTGAGGCTGTGGTGCGTCGCAAACAGTTTCTACATTGAACAGCTTCTGTGACGAGGGCTTTGATGACGAACTTTGCAACGAGGGCCTTGTGACAGTGCGGGTTTTCCACATCGCTTCCACATCGCAATGTACCGAGAGAGTCAACTGGGTACTTATCCTTCGAACACACAACCTGTGCGTTCGCCGCTTTTTGCTTACGCTTACGTTCCGGCCACTGTAGCACGCGAGGTGTACAGTCCATGTGATTCTTGTTGAGATTTGCCTCCTGGAATGATACTACTGCAAGTCTCCCATAGCGAGTGGTGGGATGCCTCTGTCTCGGCACTTGAGCGCAGGCCTTTTCATTCATATAAGATTGAAAAAATGCGATCTTCAGTGTGAAATGCTTGATCTTGCCAGATGAAACCTTTGGGCAACTTTACTTATATTATTCCGATCCGATCTACTCTGCACTTATAGGACAAACCCCATATACTTAGGGACAAAATTATGATTCGTGGGGAATTGGGGTGGGTTGACGATCGCAAGTTGGTGGTATGGAATATAGGATGATTCAGAAGATTCATGCAGAACACCTTCAAGGATCGTTCAGCTTCTCATGTCCGGACCTCCTCATGTCAGGACCCTTGTCATGTGTTGAGTGCTTGACTTGTCCGAAAAACGAGGCATGAGGCTGCAAACATCGAAGGAACATGGCCATCTGCCTCGCAGCTATGCTGGTCAGCTGGTACATACAGGACCCAAGCCAGCTGCACGGACAGGATCACGCTGGAAGAATATGCGGAAAAACTATGTCTCATGACATGTCATTCACCCGACTTCCAACAAGCCCTCCGCACTCCTCATCTTCAGCTTGCACCTGTTCCTCTTGCAAACGCCTGCGCGACGGAGTCGGAAAACCTGCCCCTACTGGATTCCTGGCCAACCCAGGACTCCTACCTACATGGTGCTTGATGTACGGGGGTCGTACCTCGGGGCGTCGGAGTGCCGGTGACGGTCCAGACCGATCCGGATGGTTGCCTCCCTGATCCGATCGGCCTCGGCCCGGCTCGGACCGAAGGGGAGCGGCGTAAGTGAGGGACAAAGGCTACTGGAACAATAACTTGGACAGAAATCAAAACATCACAAAAACATCTACAAAAACAATTATCTGCCAATCAACAGATCTGTTGAGAACGTCGAGTGAGTCGAGTCCGTAGGACTCCGATCCAGTGCCCAAAGGGCGCGCCCTGCCCCACAGACGGCGGCCCGGTTTCGGGCGGCCGTTGGACCACGGGACGTCCGCACCTCAGCGCGGGCGCGCGGAGGTAGGAGACCCACTCCTCGCTGGTCGTCAAGCCTCGGCTTCGGGTTGGACGGAGGAAGCAGGTCCGAGGAAGCTGGTAGAGCGAGGCGAAATCCGAGGCACGCTCTGGCGAACACAGAAAACACGGGTTACGTGGTATGGCATGGTCCCCAAAGACGACGTCTTTCCTTGACCGAACAGGGCGTGAACTCCACGTGTACCATGGGACTTCTGTGTTCGTCGGAGTGTAAGTCAGAGGGTCAGCCGGTTTCGGCAGAGGGGACGTCTCACAGAGCTGACCAGGGAAAGATGCTAAGCCTGCCAAATGAATACATCAGCTGGCCTTTTTGAAGAAACGAACGTTTCTGGTTTAGTAATGTGTGTTGAAGAGAAAGGCTCACGGGTTAAAAACGGGCTCATGGCTTAAAAGCAGGTCCTGGGGCTCAAAGTGAAGCCCTAGGGCCCTAGGATTAAATTAAGTCTTTGCTGTTCCTAGAATTGACCCATGGGTTGATTTGAAACGTGCTGTAACACAATGTCCTTTTTCAATCGTCAAAAGGTTGGCCTCCTTCCTTCCGTCCGTCCGTCCTTCCTTCCTTGGATGCGTGTGAATATGGGAGGGGTGCGTATACCGTATACCGCTTGGTTTTTGTGACTGTCTGAATGCTTTGAAATAGCCCATACCCCAAACACTCCATGGAATGATTGAACACATTGGGGTGGTTCTAAATGGTTCTATGCAGCTCATCGCTTTCTCCCAACTTGAGGCCGAGGGTTGGTGACGAAAGCTAGCAGGGCAGGGGTGAAGCGGGGGATATCCGACCGAGAAAGGGGTCCAAATACTGCCAGCCGAAATACACACTTCCCAGAGACGTCCCAGGGAGGAGTTGAACCCGCGAGGGGAGGTGGGGCCCCCCCAATATATGAAGTTTTCACGCGATGCAGCGCTCTCGAGAATTCCAGTCCCTCACTTGCTAAAACAAGAACAACTCCAGCTAGCTGGTGCTAGCTTTCGTGACATGGAGCGTTTGGCTAGAAAAACACCCCTTCGCCACCCCTTACCCCATCGATGAGACCAGGCACTGGTGTCTTTACAAAACTGCGGCCGTCCGCACCACTCCTCGCAGTGCTCGGAGTCCTCTGCGATGAAACCTCAGCAAGAGACAACTGGGATCGGCCCGATTTGGCCCAGGTGTGCGAGAAAGGTGATCCCTTCTACGGGATGACGGAATCAAGTACCAGCTCAGATGGTCAGAACCCAATGGAGTTCTATAGAGACATGCATGTGCTAGGAAGGCTTGTCGAAAGTTCGGGGACCTCTCCTCTCATCTCTTCCGTTCCATTGCAAGGTGCGGAACTCATCGCTGCACTCCCCAGACACCGGACGGACGGACCAAATCAAACAGAACGAGGTCGAACGAACCCACCGTCCCGACCGCGATGCTTTGGCCCTGGGAGGCTCTGGGAGGTCCTGCTATATACACCGAAACTCACAGGAAAAACGGTCTGGTGGAGTGCAGGATAAGATGAACCCCCCCCGCGGCTGCAGACGATCCCGGATTAAAGACCCTGATTTTATGGACCCCTGGAATTATAACACAATTCTCGGTGGTTTTCAGGTCCATGTGGTCCTCTGCATGATAAGATCACTCGAATTCAAGAACATCGAGAAACATCGAGAAACTATGGCTCTGCCATGCTCTGCATAGGGAAAAGCGCGTTGCGCTTGTAGAAGCCTCAGGCAGAACCCACCCGAGACACTCCATGTACGCAAGCTTCCCGAGGGCCCCACGCATGAAGCCCACACACCAACTCCGGCGCTGACACCACTGGCGCGCCCAAATATCCAAGTCACCTGGGAGTGGTAGGAGGTGGAGAAAAAATCCATGAACATGGTAACACAGTAACACAGCACAGCCGTTTGGGACATGTGTTGTGAACAAAAATTTCCGCAACTCTTGCGTACGCCGGTTTTAAAAGGGCGGTGAACACCATGAACATCCCAAGCGGTGTGGCCCGCGTGTCACTTGTGGTGCGAACGCGTGTCACCCACGGTGCCAGGCTCTGCTTGCAGTGCGAATGAGATCGAGTATTGGGTGGTACCACCGGTGATTCAGAATTCAAGGTGTAGCAAGCACCGAACTCCAGACTTGAATGTTTCGGGATATTTATCCAAATCCTGAAAGATTTGAGAAGATCCAGGGCTCATATAGAATCTTGATCTGCAGATCCGAGTTGCTGGGGAATGGCAGTGCATATATGCATGTTGCTGGTTTGGGGAGTCTGAGTGGTTTGATTGGTCGTTAGGTCGTTAATGGTCGTTATGGTTCCAGCTCCCGGGTCTAAATTGGTCGGTCGAGCTCGTCCATCCCTTTCTGCTTGATGGTCGGCCCCGCCCTGTCAGAGAAGTAGAGAGAGAGACGCGAGAGACGAGAGACCCAGAAAGCATCAATACCGATAGCAGGAAATGACCCAGGAATGGCGGCTGGTAGGGCAGAACCTGTTTCTTTCAGGTCACCGGTGACCGGTGACCGAGAAGCACTTCTCGGTCACCGGTGACCCTCGTTCCACGGAATGCAGACCACGATGACCGCGCAAGTGCAGGCCTTCTGCGCAGGCTGGATCCACATGTCTGTTCGTTCGGGGAGATGTCTCCGCGCCGAGATGGCCCTGGTGGTTGGCGCCGTTCCGGCCGTCACACGGTCACGTGCCTCGTGACTGGCCCCGGTTCTCTTTCGGAGCTGCTCCTTCTGTTCATGTCAAGCGTGTTAACCAGTCGAATAATGTCGAACACCTAGCGTTCAATCTGTCAGGACCAAAAGTGAGTCCTCTCCAAACCTCTGGCATGGGCAGCCAGCGAAGGAACTGGGTGCTTCCACCTGTAGGTCACTTTGCTGCGGAACTGGGTCCAAGCAGTGAACCGAAACATCACGAAACCACGGCCGAACCTCTGCCGAACCACTCGGATTATCACTCGATGCCATCGCCAAATCACTGGTCCAATTGCCTCCGGCGTGGCCCATGGGGTACACCTGCGCTGCGTCAAGACGCCGGGATCCATGGGGTCGGGGGAGAGGTGACGGGTGCGCACCAGCAGAAAAACGAGTGTCTTCATGGTTGCCGGAGGACCCTATCCTGGGAGCGCAGGTCAAGTCACAGGTCTGTTGTCACCCTACAGTACATGAAAAGGATTGAAAAGGTCTATGGTGATGTCGCATGAAGCTTGAGAATATACACATGAACATGTCTTCCTAGAACGGATTTGACCATTGTTTTGATCACACAAGACTCTGGGTGGTGTGTCTGTATGTGACTCTAAATGCTGCCGGCGGTCTGAGTCAGGTAACAGGTATATGTATACCGTATACTGTAACACTGTATAGTATTTCAATATATACCCTAGAAGTCCAAAGACTATATTTTGACCGGCTGAAGTAAAGGAAGTTCCCTTTCAGGTCCCCTAAAGACCATTCTTTTTATAGTCTTTGACTCGCATGGTATAAGTTGATTTCCTTTTCATGCAGATTCCGGAAACAGGAAAGTGGTCATGTTTTTGGATGGGTTCTGATTGGTGAATGTTCTGTCTACTCCGGATAGTTGCAAATATACGTCACCTGAGATCCATACTAAAGCATGCTAAAGCCATTTGCAGCATCCAAGGATCCTACAACTCTAATTCATGTTAACTCTTGACGAATTACAGCCCCCAGCCCCCCACCGGCCTCGGATCGAAAGACCCCTACTACTTTAAAGTAATTGATTGGTGTTGTTCATTGCTCTTTCGACTGATCTTTCGTCCACGGTGAATTGGATCGATGGCGTCGTGCTTCTCCGGGCGTCTCTTCCGATGTCTCCGGGGCTCCACCCACGCTCCACCCTCCGCCCATCTGAACACCGCTCGCTCGTCGACCCATGCCGATGTCTACCGCCGATCGATCGTCCCCGATGCGTTCACACCGAGCCCCCGGCGCCCACGAACTCCCCGCAGCGGCCATTCACCACCTTCCTCACCGGCGCGCGCGGTGGCGGCGCTGTTTCCGCCGTGTCTGCTGGGTGTCCCGAAGAGGAACCGTCCTTTTTTGTGGCACAAGTAGAAAACTGGTGGGCCGGGCCTTGTAACAAAAAGGAAAAGACAGACTGGTTGGTGGTTTCAACTCATGTTGAAAATACTAGTCAGTGGATTCGATCATCATCCGAATATAAAGGTTGAAACATGAAACTAAAAATATCTGGAATCTGAAACATTCTGAAACCACATTGAACCACCATATGGGGAGTGAGGATTCCTTGAAAGCGGAATGTAGCATGAGTACAGCATCAGCATGAGTCATCAGGCCAACAAAGCAAAACGATCCAAAAGCATTCCAGCCGCTGTTGTTACCATCCTTTACACCGCCCTGCCTGGCGGCCCGGCAGGAAAATCTCCATCCAAGGTCCAACGGCCTACTTCTCGGTACGAATGTCAGGGCCATGGTGAAAACCCCCGTGTCACACCTTCTGTGTCACGTCCGGTGCTTCAGGTGCTTCAGGTCGTCGGTCCCTGGGCTCTGAGACTCCGGTGGTCCATCGCAGTGCCGGTGCCGGTCCGTCCGGTCGTCCCGTCCCTCTTCCGCCCAGGAACACGAATGCATCGCTCCAGGCGCCCGGAAGCGAGCTGAGGACCTGGGCGTCGACACACGGCGCCAGCTCCGCGCGTGGCACGCGCAGCATCACCGCGGAGGCTGGAGCAGCTCCAGATGAGCCGGATGGGCGGCGTTTCAGCGGAGGCACCGTCAGTGGCTTCGGCCGTTGCATCTGGGTGTTGATTCTTGGGAGACCCACTGGCCGCAGCGCCTGGGTAGACCCACTGGCCCTGGTCGATTTCCCAAAACGGATCCTAGGGGGTTCGGAACACCTAGCCTGGCCTCCCTCTTCTAGTGCAATCTAAATCCGGCCACGTCCCGGCCAGGTCCCGTCTCACGAGGTGGCTGGCACCATTGGAGCTTCTGAAGGGTTCCTCTCTAAGACCGATGAGATTCTCGTCTCGAGACCTGACATTGACGGGTCAATCTCGGGGTCTTATAGTCTTAGTAATCCCTCCAAACCCCAGGAGTACTCAAAAGACCATGCCAAACACGACCAGGTCGTCTGTCGCCTGGGAGCATAAGCGATGAAAACCGACCAGCTGGGGTGGTTGATTTCAGTGGTATTCATCGGTCAATGTTCCAGTCCCACGACTGCCGCGTGACGGGGCATGACTTCAAACTGTCTGAAAGGAAAGCCGCTGAGACCATGGACGAACGAGTTCGCGCCGCCGGGAGTTTCGCTTCATGGGGACCATCTAGTGACGTTTTGGCCGGCCGGCTGGGGCGATTGATGTCAGGGGTTGGCGTATTTTCCTGGATCTTCCAACTGTGCAACATGTCTGCCAAACTTCATCTATAATACCAGGCCAAGTTAGGCAGAAGTTTTGCACAGTTGGAAGATCCAGGCGGTCACTTCTAGGGTCGCCATTCCAGTCCAGTCACCAGCCAAATCATCTGCGTCCTGCACCAGTCCGCGCCAGATCAGAAGAACCCTCTGCATCCTGCACTTCCATTTCGGTGCGCGTTAGGAGCGGAGTGCTGAAGGTCCTTCGAATTCAAACAAGGCACCGACCCGATTTTTCAGCAGGTAGCTGCAGTTCACAAAAACAACACCCCCAGCGAAAAATTGTCAAACTCAAGGCGTGGACCTGACCAGTTCAGAAGTTCAAGATACATCTCCTGTCTCAAAAAGAATTGGACATACCAGTGCTCTGAAATACAACAAATTAAACTGGTGATGGCATGTGATGGCTCTCTATTTACAAGCTCAGAGAAGGTGGCTGCGGCCAGCGGGTTATTTTGTCGCAGAGACGCTTCTCGTCAAGGTCGACACGCTGGAGGAACCAGCGCCATAGTATCAATAAATGTGTTTAAGGTAAAATCTGCAGGAAACCCATAGGTTTGAATGGGAAAACCATGCTTTCCCGTAGATGTTGCATTAAAACCCATTGATAATTGCAATATTGCGTGCATCAATTACTATCAATTGGTGTTGCCACGATCTTACGTAGCAGTTTTCCCCAGTACCCCCCCCACCTTCAAAGCTACCAGCGAGGCTCTTTTGTGGAAATCTCGTCTATCCATGCCCGGTGTCCAAACATGCCCAAACAATCCAATGTAATGTAGATCTATTGAACCACCTCTTCATATATGGGCAGTTTATTACTCCACCATCGCGCACGAAGTCGAGAGAGACGCGCGCCCTCCAAACCCACTCTGGAGTTCGGCAAAGGGGTGAAAGGATGAGATGCACCGAATGATTGCACCGGTCGAACAGAGTCCCACGTCGAAATACCACGGCCTGCACCATCATGAGTCTACATTATGGAATAACATTATATGTATTGGATAGATTTGCCTACATTGATACTATTTCAACACTTTTCAACCCCCCAAGTGATCTGTAATTAGATAAAACCATGTGTCTGCGGTGTGTCCCAAAACCCGCCTCCGCTTCACACCGCCTCCCTTTTTTGACGTTCCGAAAGCGGCGTTCGTGCCGCGGATGCGCCGCGATCGCCCGCCTCCGATTCGCACGCCCCGGAAGGGAGGTGGATCGCGGGGAGGGGGGCGGAGGGCGTAGGACTAAAGGAGCTGATCCTTAAAGAACGGATTTGCTGCAAAGCCCGCCTCACGATGTGTCCTATGTCTGTCTATTTTGGTTCGTTCGGCTCCGCCAAAGACTTTCAATGTTGGATTGTTGTTGATGTCCTTCTATTTATATATCTATAATATATATATATATAACAATCAGCCCCTAGATGATTGATGATCTTACAGTGATAGTCTTTCTTTCGCCCCTCCCTGGTTGTTCTTTTCGATTCGATGAGTATCCTTGATGCCCTGTCTAATCTCCCGTACATGTTCCCTTGGGTGTCTTACATGAAACGGGGTGTCTTGGATGAAACAGAGCCACCTCCGACCGCTTCGAACGATCCTGATCGGGTCCACGTGGCTTCGTTTCGCAGGGTCCCACGGACGGGGGGCTTTCTTCTTCGTGGAACGGTGTGGCTTCGGGGTTCGCGTCGGATGATGCAGAAACGTGGTTCACGTCGGATTGGCTCCCTGGAACGTCCGGTTTGGGTGAAGTGGAGTGGCGAAAACCACCGGTTTGGGTCGTGGATTTCATGGTCTTCCGAATCTCGGGGCTATGACATCCACGTAACCATGTTAGTTCCAGTTAGAGTGGATTGAGAGGTTCGATGGCACAAGTTACACCAAGTTAGGTGGTTTAGTCGGTGGACCCCTATATAAATATAAAAGACATCTTGGGGTGCCAGTGCCATCTCACTGTATATAAATCCCCACCACGGCAGATGTTTATATATGAGATTGACTTTTTGACGATGTTTGATGTCCGTCTACTTGGTTTTAAGCCCTTGATTTCTGTCTATGTTGGGTTCACTTCTGGCAGCACCCCCCAAAGGGCATGGTGCGTATCAAAGCGGGGAGCAAGAGGTGACATTGAGTTTCACAGATCGCCAGGGGTGTTGGGTTCCCTCTTGTTGGGTCACTGTTCTTGAGGGATCTTTGGAAAGGAATGGAAGACCAAAAAAGCGTGAATCACGGACACTCTTACCTTCCAGAAACGATTTAGACTCCTTCTCGAAGGGTTGCCTTTTAATGTACGAGTATGGCTTGTCAGGCCCCAACATGGACGTGGCTAAAAGTTATATAAGACCCAATCAACCATACTTTTGTTGGTCTATTGTCTCTTTTGCCAGTGGGTCTGTTTTTCTTTTTGCCACTTCCACAGTTCAAAGTGCTCTTGTCTGTGGGAGAAATGAGCAAGCACTCAAAGCCAACCCGTTAGGCCATTGTTGTCTTTTGGTGAAAACATGCGCTGAAGAGCTAACTTGTTGGGTTCAGCAAATCCGAGCAAGCCTGGCACAAGGTGGGGAGGTTCTGTTTACCGGCCTCTCTTCTTACACCTTACTCTTGATACTTAACAAAATCAAAGACTCCTGACCCCCAGCTACAATCGAACTGCCACCAGTTGCTCGATCAGCTGCCCTTGACGACCCCCCAAAACTTAACCATCCCCAAATGGGGCACCTGAGGGGGGTGGGGTATCTACGCCAACATAACCCAGCTCCGTCTCCGCGTAGTGACGTGCTCCTTGGGAGGGTCTGAGTCCAGGCGGAGCATGGGCTACTTAGGGGGCCCCCGGGGACCCCAGGATTTCAACCACGATTGATTGAAGAGCCTTGGCTGAACAACCATGCTCTTACCGGACGGAATTTAGACAGAAAGAGGGTCAATCGAGCTCTTTGAATGATCCTAGAATGCTAGGGTAGGAGCACTTGGATGTGTTTTCTTGAATATGTGTGATATTGATCAATCCTTCAATTGCCCCAGGGATTTCACAGGTGTTGCCTTTGACAATCAGAACCTCGAGATTCTACAGCTGCTTTCCACTCAGTCGACCCACTTGGTGAGGAAGTTGCTGGACTTCAAGGCTGCATCCACCTGGGAGCTGCTCATGGACTTGTACTTGGAGAGGTCCTCACGGTGCTCAGAGCTGCCGAAGTAGAATTCATTTGGACGATGCAGCCCATCAAAGGGCCTTTGGAGAGCTGGAAGTGGAGCTAGGATGAGCTTGGCAAATGTCTAACAAAAGGATTCTTGCCCTCTTGCACTCTCCTTTTTCAGCCAAACAAAACGCTAACACCCATGTATTTGTCATGATATCCTTCTCTTGGGCCAACCTGTTCCCACCTGCCCTCGTGTTCAAGAAACACCGACCTCCCCGGCCACCTCTTTGGGTGTGTTTTTCGGTCCTTCGAGTTCTCCCACTCGAAGAACTTGATGCCGTTCCTGATGTCGCCAGGTCGGTCGAGTCGGGGTCACCGAGCGGCGTCCATCCGAGCCGAGCCGAGCGTCGGAAGAACCAGGGTCGCGAGCGGAGCGGAGCGGGTGAACCTGTCCGAAGTCCGAAGAGGACCAGTTTGTGGCCTGAGACGCAGCCTGGTGCCGACGTCCGTCTCGTGTGGGGGCGCTTCGGGGTCACAGCGGAGCTGACTGACAGACGGGTCACCATCTGGGAGAGCATTTGTTGGGGGGGCGCTCCTACCACCGGGATGCTTCACTATGGGGTATGCTTCGAAGGCATGCTTCTCCTAAGTCGAACATCCCAACTCTACATAAACTGGACACATTTAAGAAAGAAAACAGTCCAACAGACAGACAGACTGACTCACTCACTCACAGACTGACTCATTGACAAACTGACTGTCACCATCACCATGCATCCTTCTCAGCCCCGGAACTGAATGCGCCAGGCCGGACTTCACCGGGTGGACGTGTCCGCCCGAGCAACTGAGAGTTATGAGTGGAGGACCTGGAGGAAGAAAATCTGAGAAGCGGGTTCAGAGGTTCAATGGCACAAGTGACCCAAAGTTGGGTGGTTTAGTGGACCCCCATCTAAAACGACATGTAGGGGTGCCAGTGCCATCTATTCCGGGTCCAGCCGCCGTATTTTTGGAACCACCCTGAAGCAGCTGACCCGACAGGAATCCGTCCAACTGCATCGTTCGGTGCTCCAAAAAACCTCCGTCGATGGCGGGACCGACACACACATCGCACGTCTCCAAGCGCCAAGCTTCTTGGTGACCGCCTCACGGCCAAAGTGGCAGTAGGCGGCGGTCTCTTGGTACTTGGGCTCGCGCAGGGCCAAGGACTGTGCGATGGCACCAGGACGGCAGTCGAACTCAATCCTGGGTGGAATTCAACATTTTGCAACATGACTTGACCAAATTCAAGCCAATGTCGGAAGCTATGTCAAACACTGCTGCGGGCATATTACTAGTAGTTCGCAGCAAATGTCAAATCTATCGCTGAGTGCCTCTATGGTTTTTGCTATCTGCCAAGTCTCTTCAGGATGTTGGTGATGTCATCCACAGTGAGGGA